CAAAGGCCAAAGCTGTAGTTGGCCGATTACAGAGATAACTGAGAACTGCATCAATGTGTGAGGCTCCAATCAGAGGCAGAGAAACTCCTCCAAAGCCTTTGCCTGAAGATGACTGTAACCTATCTATGCCCTATGATAACCAAATGAATTGATTCCCAAGAGCCTTAACTTTCTCTGTGTATTGCAAGGAAGTTTGTCCCCCAAAACCTGACATTTTTTTTCATAATTTATATACTCTGACCAATTAAAAACCTGTGCAGAGGTTAAAGGAATCTGCTCACTGGCTTCTTCTCTGGACTTCCTATATCTGCCAAATTGTGTAATTATTCCTCAACATTTCTTTTGGTTACACCCAAGTAAGTCAAAGGCATTAGCATTAGAAACTACTAGAAATCCTCTATAACAATAATAAGCAGCTATCTAAGCTGAATGGTAGAAAACTCACCCTTACAATGTAGAATGCATCGTCTTTGAGTACATCCTTATCTAAACTAGGCCTTGTTTTTCAAGTAGACATTGTGACTTCTTCTGGTTGACTGCAGTAGATACAAATTGCCTTGGGAAAGTTATACTTTCCAAAGTTTCTAATGTAGTACATCATCATAATGTCTGCTCTGGGGACCCTCAGAACAAGTGAAACACATCTAGACAACCAATCTTCCCAGTCACTGGAGTTAGATAAGAAAGGAAGCCAGAGAGTGAGCTTAGACACCAAGATCAACTGTCCAGTTTGTGGAGCAACTCCAATCCAGTCTCAGGGAAGCACCCCTAACCCTTAGATCACGCTGGTCACAACTCCCCTCCTTTCCACTAACTTCCCATCAATAAATGGTGCTGTGTTTTCAAGAGGATCTAGTTGAGTGTGGTGACACCACAGGGCCCACCATCCCAGGAGGAGGGGCAGGAGAATCTCCCAGTGCGAGGCCAGCAGGAAGGGGTCTGAAAAGGGAAGGAAAGGGGAGGGGTGGGGAGGAAGAGTGCAGACACAGGCAGGAAGCAAAGGGGAAGAGAAGGGGGGTAAGGGGAAGAGGAGGAAGGGGATGGGGTGGGTGGGGAGAGAGGGGAAGCATTGCCAGGGGGAAACGCATCTTTCCCTGAAGTAGCCATCCAAATGCTTCAGAACAAAATAGCACTTTCTGAGGAAGGGGGGGCATGCACAAAAGAGCTGCCTTTAAAAAGAAAAAGTGGTCCTGAGGAGGGGGTGGAGTATCCCCTACACATCTGCCTGTGTGTGTGTGTGTGTGTGTGTGTGTGTGTGTGTGTGTGGCAAAGGGGGAGGGCTGCTGAAAGCAGAGAAAGCTGTTCAAATCAGCCTAAGATGGAGTTTATAGATGAAATCAACACTTACCTCTGTTGTTGTTACACACCCCATTGTTGGGGTTCACAAAGGAGCCACTGTGTCTTCAAGCTATTCAGTGCTAGGAGTCCCCAAGTGGAATCTCTCTCTCTCTCTCTCTCTCTCTCTCTCTCTCTCTCTCTCTCTCTCTCTCTCTGTCTCTGTCTCTGTCTCTGTCTGTCTGTCTGTCTCTCTCTCTCTCTCTCTGTGTGTGTGTGTGTGTGTGTGTGTGTGTGTGTGCATTCCAAGTCCCCTCCACTAGCTTGAAGGGGAGGGAGACCTCTCCAAGTTAGTGTTGACTTACTACCACTCTCATCTCTTGACCCTAGATGGAAGAAGATTTCAAAGGCACCCTTAGCCTCTGTGACATAGAACATACAGTATGTCCAGAAAGAGCAGGACTCCAGAACAAACCGCCTTCTTGCTCTCTTCCCACTGTCCCCAATAGGGAAAAGAAAAGTGGATTAAAATGCTCACAAGCTTGGCAATGCTGCCACCCCAGATTCTGGAAGGAAAGCATATGGACCTGACTTCAGAATCCTGAGTGTAACCCAAAGGGAAAATTCATCGCCAAAAAGCAAAATTGAGTTTGTTTGAAAGAGGACTGAGAAAGAGCATGGCGTGTTCCCTTCCATTGCATAGCCTCATCCCTCAAGTGACCCTGTTAGGAAAAGAAACACCTACAACGAAAATCAAAACCCCTACCCTCACTTTCATGCTCCGCCCTCTTTGCTTTTTGCACTTCTAAAAGCAATGGTCTGTCAAGCCGCCTGAGCCTTTTTTGGCTTTCAGGCATGAAGCTCTCTAGCTGTAAAGGCTGGTGGCAGACTTCACTGGGTGCTCATGGTTGTTAATGCCATAACATTTTTAACAAAGCAAAGAAAAAGGCCAGAGGATTCTTCCCCTTCGTTGCTTGTGCGGGAAAACAGCTTCCTTGGTTTCCCCACCACACTAACTCTTAGGCAAAACTGATCTTTGGACATATACATAGAAACCAAACTGACCCAGACAAAGGAAAGCAGAAGAGATGCCCTCCCACCTACTTCTCCCTTCCTACCAGCTGTATGTGGCCAGTGGTAACCCGTGGCCAGCTGGAGTTTGGGATGGAAATAAATTAACTGGAAACTTCAAGTCACTGCTGCAGTCAACTGGAAAAGAAGAGTGAATGCCAGTGTAGCATGGCCCTAGAGCCCAGGGCCACCAGCTCAGCTCCCTGCGGAACCTCTCCCCACCATGTCCAACTTAGGGGGTGGGGTACAGTGGAGGCCACAGTGCCCCCCCATGTGTTCACATCTAAAGGCACAGAGGCCAAGACAATTGTGGCAGCCCCTCTCTATGAGTCCAACCTGAAATAAACACTGTCAGCCTTCAGATGATTTACTTCCTGGGAAACACATTCCGTCTCACTCAAGTTTTCCCTGACTCTTATTACCATATAATTTCGCCCACTATTAGTTATTGTTATCATTATTCAGAAACAGTGTCTTTAATTGTAGTGTGAACTTTTCTTTCCCTTTTGCGTCTTAGCTTTCTTCATGCAGCAGAGAGAGAGGTTAAAAGTTGACAAGAGTACAGTGAGAAAAGGATTTATATTTGTTTCAATAAAGTGTCTAGCAAGCTTGTTTGCTCCTTTTCTCAAAAACAGTGAAGCACAAGAACCCTAAGCAAGGGAGGAGGGAGGGAGGGGACACAGGGAGGGAGGGAGGAGGGAGGGAAACTGACAAAGAAGGGGAAAGAATTTGAAAGGCAGGAGGGAGATAATAAAATATTGGAAATAGATTGAAGAGGGAAAGAAGGAGAAAGGATGAAAGAAGGAGAAGAGGAAAGCACTAAAAAGAGGGGAGGGGTGGTTTCTTGCTTGTTCACAGTTAGGCTTAACCGGGCATCACTCCAGCAGAGCAGTAGCAACCCAGCTGCCTCTCTATTGGATGAACACCTCAGTCTTGCTAAGAACACAGAAACCAAAATGCATTTGAAACTTCTGGAGAATTTTGCAAACTGGAGACAATATTGAACCATGCCATCAGGAGTATACATGACAAGAATTACCATTAGCCATCCCAACTTTCTTGGGAGAAAAGGGTGTGTTAAAAATATTCATTCTTTAGAAAACCAAACAGTTCTCACACTTGCTTTTCCTGCACTGAGGAATGGGGGCACCACTGATCTGTCTTCCTTTGGACACAAGCTCATTAACCTACACCACTAAGGAGAAAATATACTTCCCTGGACCTACAACTGAGTGTCTGAAAATAAAACAAAGACCAATTGTGCCCATGTCCCCCCAACCCAAGACAGTAACTGCCCCCAACACTCTACATTAACAACCCCCCAGAAGCTTGGGGTACTGTGTCTGCAATGCTAATGGCTGCCAGCTCAGCTCACTTAAAAGAGGCTTCCTTTCCATTCACTTTTCTGCACTGGGCTAGGTGACTAATGCGCAGAGGGGCAGCTCCCAGCTCCTTGATCCCCCTCAGCTAACTGAAGGGGGGGGTGCCTGAGGAACCTGCCCCGATACAAGGAGATGAGGTCTTCCTAGACTCCCCGGGGAATTCCTGGCAAGGGGGAAAAAATTAGGAGAGACACCAGAAACATCCAGCAGACATTCCCCAGTAAGCTCTGATAAAAGGGCTGTCTCTCCACCCTTCTGTTCCAGGGGGTAGGTGTGATTCAGGGTGGGTGTGTGTGTGTGTGTGTGTGTGTGTGTGTGTGTGTGTGTGTGTGTGTGTGTGCTCTTGACTTATTTGAGATCTCTGATGAAGTGAAGCCAGGTGGCCTGTATCCATTCATTCAAGGCAACAGACATCTTCAAACTATTTTTTGTTGCTGTTTTTTAATTAGATTTATCCTTTAAAACAGAAAGTGCATATTACATTTCATGGGTCTCGCGAAGGGGCTGCCTTTTCTTTACAAACCGAATTCCTCGTATAAATTAATAAATGTTAAAGAGGCTAATATATCACCGTTATTAGCTTAAAAAGAAAACAATTTACATATTCTATAGTATTTCTTATGATACAAAAACACTTCGAATTTAATTACAGCAACTAAATGGAAATTTTATGTTCTGACCCAGAGCGCTTGTAACAATTCCCACCATCTACTTTTAACACGTATTTTTTTTATCAGAAAGGAGTTAAATTAAATACAAGGTAGTGTAGCCCCTCCATCCCCGATATTTTCTTTAAATCACTAATAAATAGCAACAAACGACTGTGCAATTTCGGAAGGGAACCCAGAAGCTGGTGTGAGAAGCTTGCGGGTTCTGCAATTTCAGGCTTCAAGTCCTGGGGCAGGGCGGGCAACCTGGGGCTGCCCTGGGGACCCAGCGAGGTCTGCCGGGGACGCAAGAATTGGCGAAGGGGAAAGAGCCTGACAAGGAGTGAGGCGGGAGGTGTCTGTCTGGGGAGGGCGACGACATTCTTTTCTAAGATACCCAAGTTAGAATGAAAGGCGGCCAAGTTCTGTGAACAGCTCTTAAAACCAACGGGAGGAAAAGTCCATCTCTTTATACCAAATTCCAAAAAAACATTTTACATTTTAAATATTCACAATAAAGTAACTTCTAGTCAGTGTGACTCACGATTTATTTACACAGAGCCTTCAACAGGTGACTTAGTGGGTAGAGCAGTTGCGGGCAGCGGGGTCGTCCCTTTTTTTTTCCTAGGTGGCAGATGCCCTGTGTGGCTCGGAGATTCCCACCAGGCGCTGGCTGTCGACTCTTCACAAACACGACCCCGGAGCTCAGGGACCACAGAGCAAGGGACCGAGCCTGGATGGGGGTGGGGATTGACTGACACCGCGGGTGGGAAGGGTCCAGGGGAGCCGCGGGGATGCGGGTTCGTCATTTAACGCGGCGCACTCGGCGGGCTCCCTTCCTTCTCGTCAACGCGCCGTCCTATCCCCCCAGGCCCCGCCACGATTTCTGGGTTAAAAAAATAGATATGTACATCTTAGAAAATAGTAAAGGCCCGGGGAGCAGCCGCGGTGCTGGGCCCGGGGGTGACCGGCTGAGGGGCGCGGTCGGGGCGGCCCGGGATCCCGACGCAGCGGGCGGGCGGGCGGGCGGGCGGCGCTCAGGACGAGCCCTCGGCCTCGGACGCGTGCAGCAGGAGGCCGCCGCTGCTCGACTTGTGCTTTTTCAGCAGCTGCGTGATTTTCTCGTCGTCAGAGTTCGGGTCCAGGGGCTTGTTGTAGTCGTCGTCCTCCTCCTCGTTCTCCGAAGTCCCCTTGAGCCGCTCGGTCTCCGAGTCCTGCTTCTTCTTGGCGGTGGCCATCTCAGCCGCGTGCTTCTTCCTCCACTTGGTCCGGCGGTTCTGGAACCAGACCTGAGAGAGGGGAGGGCAGGGCCGGGAGAATTGAGTGCCGGGGGACCCAGGCTCCCACTTCGCCACCTTCCTTAGCGGCCGTCGTCCCCCACCCCACCCCGCCCCCCCGGGTCCAGGCGTCAAAGTCAGACTGGTGGTGGCCTCACTAACCCACCGCCGTTGCCATAGCGATAGCCACACAAGAGCCTTGGGGCCGCCAGTAAGACATTTCTCCGAAAGAGTGAAAACAAGAGTCGGAACGAGTTTCCCTAAAAATAAACTTGTTTTTCCTACGTTCCAACTGGAAACGGGAAACTTGCTCAGGTTTCCGGCAGCGGCGGATTTTATCCTTAACTGCATTCGTAGATTAGTAAATTTCAAACAACTAGAGTGCCCCGTGATGAGCACGGAAGAGCACAGTATTAAATCCAATTATCTCTACGGTGTTTCTCACTCTCTGAGCACTTGACTGTTAACTTATTTGAGGCCTGAACGCGCACTAACTTCGTTGATCAACAACCCCCCCCCCCCCCAGATACTTGCTCCGAAGTTCTCTGGTAAAATGACAACTTCAATTCAGTCATAGCAAAGGACTCAGAGGCATGAAAATATTTAACCGCTCAGTAAAAATTATCACGGTGGAGCTGGTGCTGTTTCTTCCCCTGCCCTCCAGGTTGCTCATAAAACCAAAGGTAAAATATTACCAAAAGCTATTTCTAAATTGAAAGGTTGCCCATTACATTGGTTTTTATTATGATCTCGCCTGTTCTTTCAAACATTAGCGTAATATTCCTCCCAACTAAGACATTCATTTGAAGTACAAGTAAGTTCAACCTGTTCATGACGCTTGACATGGGTCTGACACATGCATTTTCATCTTTAGAATCGGGAAATAAACAACCAGTTTTCTGAACATTTTGAATTGCCCTTTTTTATGCTCCTGGTCTGTTACGTATTTTATACAGGGAATTAGAATTGTTAAGAAAAGCGATTTTCTTTATATTGCTATAATAATTCACTTCTGGCCATATGGACATATTTATGGTGACAAATGAAGACCTCCAGATTAAGGTGGTAGCCACCCACTGCAAAAATAATATTGAATGTGATAGTTTTCTAACGGCCACGTGAAAAATCTCCATTGAAATATATTATGTGAAAAAAAGAAATATATTGTGTGTTGTTTGGCTAGCAGGGAAATTAACTCTAAATAACAGACTTGAGGATATTGCTCTTTAATGAGAAACAAGATAACTAAAGAAAGCAGACACACACACACGTGTAGCAAACTGAAAAGGACAAAGAGAACACAGGGAAGCAGTAAACTATCAGATGGAATTTACACAACAGGTTCAATCCCTTTATTTTCAGGGACAGATTTCTGAAATTTGATTCCCTAGAAATGAAGTGGACAACTCAATTATAAACAAGGGGACATCTTACTTGCAAATTGTCATAAACTGCAACATCTTAATTCTGTGAATAAACTTGCTTTAAGCAGAATCCAACCCTATAATACACTTAAAATCTTGTCAGCTCCTCTGGAAAATTACTATTCCAAAACATCATTTTCATCTAAGCCAAAAGCAAGTTTTATCAGTGTTAAGTTCCACTGGATTCATTTACCTTTAATCTACAAATTAATATAGAAGCCCTGTAATATCTAGTGGAGACTGAATTGACAAATAAAAAAGCTTGAGTGTCTTTACAAATAAAACAAATCAAGCTTTCTAATCAGCTCGATCTGTGCTATTTCCTTAATGCCTTTATTCTCAGATAAAGGCGAGTCTCCCCAGCATAGGCTGCAGTCTAGATTAGCTTAATTTCTAAGGCGGGGACTTGATTCCTTTTGTTCAACAGTTTCCCTCCAAAAGACCCCAGGGCCTGTAGGACCCCCAACCTTCTCCTCAGCTCGCCACTTCTCCCCAAACTCCTCAGAGCGCAGCCCCACCTCCACCCGATTTGTTAGTTTGGGGAGGGGGGAAATACAGGCACGTGCACTTGAATGTGCTCACGCGTACAGGTCCAAAATGCTATCCCTGGAGGTGTCAAAGGTCCACTCACCTTGACTTGACTCTCTGTCATCCCCAAAGAATAGGCTAAGCGAGCTCTCTCTGGCCCAGCCAAGTACTTGGTTTGTTCGAAGGTCTTCTCCAGGGCGAAGATCTGTTGGCCAGAGAACGTGGGTCTCGTGTGTTTTCTCTTCCCATCTTTGTCCAATAAAATGGATCCCTGATCTGCAAAACAAAAACAAAACGATATCATAACAAGGGAGGGAACGGACAAGCAGCTACAGTGCCCCACGGGGAAGGGGGGTGAGAACAGAGAGCAAATTAGCAAAGCTATGTTTTGGTAGTGAACGTTTATCGTGGCCTGTGCCGGAAGTGCGCCCAGCTCTTCCCTTGCCAGATCATGCCCATTACTTTCAGTCAGAGTCAGGTGCAGTTGGGGCAGCAGTAAATACTTTCTGCTTAACCACTGTGCCAAATACCCAGGGAGGCCACTGCTAAGGAGTGCCCAGCTAAAATGGGACACCACACACACACACACACACACACACACACACACACACACTCACACACGTAAACTAAGCAGTAAGGCGTGAGAAAGGTCACCCTCGACTCCTGGGTCAGTCCCTGTGAGCATGGAAGATAAGCAGTTTGGCTTGAAGGTAGCCAAGTTTTTATTTTATATTATAGCCCCCCCCACCCCGTCAGTTCCCTAACCTGTGTTGGGCAACAAAAGGCTTCTTGTGCTTTGCATACTTGAGAGCTGACAGGCCCCTAGTCTGAGGCCGCTGCTAGTTGGAGGAAGAGAGGACACAGGAACACAGCTTTTGGCGATCACTAGAATCAACACTGATACACTTCCCTGACACCCCCAATAACCCCGAGGAGTCACCTTCCCAAGGAAACCTCACTTGGTTCCCTCAGTTACTGAAGTTATTGCCACTAAGCCCCACGTAAGGAGGTCCAGTGACTTGGACTAACTTAGGGGACTTGGTCACCGGCAAAGAACAGAGTGAGGAAAGGATTTGAGCCGGGCCCTGGACGCCATCTGGGGGCTAGGAGCCTTTTAGGAGCTGTGGTCCACTCGCTGACCCAGATCTTGGGCCATTGACTAGACCCAGAAAAGGTCTTTGGGAGCTCCTTCTTACTGTCACATTTCTCTTCCTCTCCTTTCTTGGGTTAGGCCATTGAGTGTCAAAATGCCTCTTCAATGAGCCCAGATCCAACTTGCCCAGGATCCTGGGAAAGCCCAGGCCTCGCAGCTCCTCAGCCGGTTAGCTGTGGACAGTGTAGTGAGGGCAAAAATTCGAGCTGGAGACATCCAGGGAGGAGGTGTGCTTGCAAATGCTTGCCTTTCCTGGGGGCGGTGGGTGCTTGACATGCCTACCCTCTCAGGTTTGCAGAAAACACGGGTCAGGCGGGCTACTGAAGGAATGGTTAGCAGGCTCTGGTTAGCAGGAAAGAGCCTGAAAAACGGGGGTGCAGAGACCTTTTCCTCCCGCTTTCCAACTCTCTAACCCAGAGCTGGTCACTTTCAGGAACAGCCCAGACAAAAACTCGCCCACTGCGCTGCGTTCATTTCAGACACTAGCCCTCCTGCGGAGCCCAGGCCTGCCTGAGCCTTGACGAGCTCAGGGGAAGCACGCGTCCTTCGCTAGATGCCCGGGCCCAGACAACCTTGTGCTATTCTGGCACTGCCCAACTACTGGAGGGCCGACCAGCGACCCGCAGGCACACTACGGGCCATGACCCAGGCAGGGCCCCGAGCCGCGATTGTACTCACGGGGGGTACAGGCCAGGCGTGCGTCCCTCCAAGGCGGACTCTGCATCACCCCGGGCCAGAAGATGGGCGTCCGGCCAGGCAGCTCGGCCAGGGGCTTGGGGTACCGGCCCACGGCGGCGACGGCCGCAGCGCTGGGGCTGAAGTAGAGCCCGGGCGGCGGTGGCGGCGGGCTCAGGCTGCTGAAGCGGGGCAGGCCGGCCAGCAACCCAGCGGGCGACGAGGCGGCGGCAGCAGCCGCGGCGGCGGCGGCGGCGGCGGCCGCAGAGGCCGAGGTGGCGGAGGCGGACGACGAGGAGGAGGAAGACGACCCCGAGGGCGAGGCGGAAGGGAGAGCGGCCCCCGAGGCCACCGGCATGGAGGGCCGACTCAGGATGTCGTTGATGCCGTGCGGGGTGGCGGCTGAGAGCTGCTGCGGGGGGCTGCTCAGCGACGAGAGGCCCCCCGCGGCCGGGGGCTTCAAGCCGCCTGGATTGTGGGCGCCCAAAGGCGGGGAGGGCGACGAAGACGAGGAGGACGAGGAGGAAGAGGGGGGCCCGGTGGGCAGAGGGGGGTAGGTGGCGGGGTACAGCGGGGTCTTCATCTCGGCCATGCTGTGCAGGGCGGCCAGGGGCGGGCTGCTGAGCAGGAACGCGCTCTGCCGGGGGCCCTCCATCGCCCCCACAGCTAACATCCCACAGCCAGGCCCGAACCCGCAGCCGCGCAGGCCGGTGGCCGCGCCGGGGCTCAGGAGAGCCCGATGTGCCGGGGGCGAGGGGCACGAGGGGAGTGTGGCTCGGCTCACTCGGAGGCGACCGGCCAGTTGAGCCGGGGTCGTGGTCGCCTGGAGCTGCTGTCCGAGCTGCGCAGTAGAAATGTCCAAGCACCGCGCGGGAGGCGGCGTCGAGCGAGGGCTGCGGGAGTACGGAGAGTACGGGGCCGCCTTGGTTCGGAGAGTCCTGGCTTCGGTCCCTGGCGCTAGTTGCTCCGTCCGGACTCAGAGTGCTCTATTTCTCATCTTCTCCACCCCCGCGGGAAATCACCAAAACAAGCTCAGGGTCGGCCCCCGAGAGTTCGCAACAACGTGGGGAGCCACCGAGAGCACTCTTTGATGTAGGAGGATGGGGGGCTGGCTCGACCTCTTTGGGGAGCTTCAAAGGGGGCCGCGTTCCGCCCGGTGCGCGCCTCTAATCTTGCTCGGACGCTCAGCGCTCGCCGCAGAGCAGCTGGTTCGCACTAGCCGCTACTCGTTCAAGGGACAGAGCGCAACCGGTCCGCGCTGGGGATCACGCCTGCCACCGCCGCGGACCCGGCGCTACTGCGCCAGAAAGGGCAGTGCCACCGCTCCGGCGGCCTGGGGACTTGGCGCGCCCACGCGCCTGCTTCCCCTCCGGGCCACGCAGCGCCCGATTAGCGGTAACGAAAAGGAAGAGAGAAAAAAAAGTGTGAAAAGTCTGACGGGTCGGTTCCCGCTCCGATCGTCCGTCCGCTTCTGCAAACCGGCCGCCCCACCCCCCGGCGCCCTCTCTCGCTCTCACTCTCCGCCTTTCTCTCGCCTCTCTGGCATTTCTCCTTGGCTTTCCAGGCTTGGCTCTTCTAAGCCCTGTCCTCTGGCCAAACTGACCCTCTCGGCGGCTCTTCCCTTCTCTCCTGTCTCCCTCCGGGCCTGACAGTTCGGATGAAGCTCTCAAAGGTAATAAAACATTTGCACCCCTCCCGGTCGCTCTTTAGCTGGGGGACGCAAGGGAGGGGTGGTGGGGGGCCAAAATGAGAACTTTCAGGGACGTCACTCCGGGGCGGCTCTGCGGGGCGGGACCGAGGAGCCGGGCGCAAGGTTTTGGGCGTAACCACCGCCTCCAATAGCGCTCAGCTTCTGCCTGGCCTCGCTCCTGGGGCACGCCCACCAGAGAGCGCCACATCTTCTAATTGGCTGAAGCAAGAGAGCCGTGAGGCCGCGCCCGCCTAGTCCCCGCCCCAGTGTCCTTTGGGCGGAGCCATGAGGGGAGGGACCTGGAGAGAAGAGTGGTTCCAGCCCGGGGCCAGCGGCCTGGCTCAATTAATTGGGCAAAATAAAATGGAAGAGGGGAGGAGGGAGCAGGGACGAAGAGGGTATTACTTTTTAAAGAGAGGAATAATGAAAAGCCGGCCCTTTTATGGAAAAGAGGTTTAAGTTCGTCCCTTCCGCCCACACCAGCTCACGTCATCCTCTCCTACTTCCCCCACAAGCTCTAGGCGCCTCACCTCGAATGGTTGTCTGGACCCTGGCGAAACGGAGCTAATGGTGCAGGCAGCCGGCACATCCCCGACCGGGTTCCTTCTTTTGAAGGGATTAATTAAAGGCCATCTGGGCTCTTCCAGAGTTGTGTAAATTAATTTGTTGCTCCTTAAGCCTATAGATGATCTTAATCCCCTTGCAGGCCTAAGGGTCATCCTATCCCATCTTTCCACCTCCTTCTCTTTTCTGTTCCTTCTCCATTTTGATTTTCATTCCTGAGTCCCACCCCCCAGATCGTTATCACTTAAGGGGGGGTCTCATTGCTCTGGGAACGAAATCAACTTAATGGAATATTTATCTCTAGCGTGGCATCTAAACCTAAGAGGAATGAGATGAATTACAAAACATTTCCTCCCTCTGTTAATTTTAGTTGGATCCACACCAGACAGAATCACTAAACTTTCGATACCGGAATTCCTCCAGAATGTCTAGTCAAGCTCTCAACTCCGGGCTGTTGAGGAAGCTGGAGATGCCGGGACTTGTAGCCTGGGATTAGCAGCACTGGTCGGTAAAAGCTCCCTGTGGCTGGTGTTTAAGTTCTGGTCAGGAGAATAGCCCTTGGGTGGATCTTGAAGAATCAGGCAGTTAATGCACCAGTGGTGGGGGAGGGGCGAAGAGGTATTGCCACAGAGATCTGCATGAGATTACTGAGCCCAAATTTAAGGCTCAGAAAACAGAAATAGAGGCAACAAACCTCCCAAGAATAAAATCTGAGCAGCACCAGGGAGTTTGAATGTCAAGGCGCCTTTGTTAGTCCAAGCAGGAGGCCTTAATCATCCCGGTACCTTTCCAAAGCTCGAGTCTTTTACAGGGTATCAACCCGGGGTTGTTTGAAGTGTGAGAGAAAAGCCACCGAGCGGTTAATCATCTTTTGCCCCTTTCATTCTGGGGAATAACATTTGTCTTCCTCTATCTGTCCCACCTTTATTAACTTCCAGACTTGGTTAACGCCACCATTCCATAGACTTTTGGACCTGAGAAAGGTGGGGTTCTGCGTGGAAGGGAGATATGCTAAGGGGCTGCCAGCCTCTAGCTTCTGAGGAGTGCTGACGTGGGTTCTGTCTGCACTTCCATGCCTGCCCAGACTGCCTCTGCTCCTAAACCCCAGAAGAGCCGCCAATCAAACTCTAGGGAGACTTCCGAGGCGACAGTGACGGTGCTGTCACGACTCTGGTTCTGGAGCTGAAATTGCATGCCTCTGGCTTCCTCACAAACTGTTCCCCCTCGGAGCCAGCATTTCCGCGGTGGCAAACGATAAGCCTGCACCCGAATCTTGGGCCTCCAGCTCAAGATCTGCTCAGGTCCTCCAGGAAGTGCGTTCTCAGGTACTAGGTAGGAACTGAGAAAAGGAAGTTACTGGTTTGCCAAGTTAACTGCCCAAAAAGTATCTGTTCCTGTAGATGCCGTAACGGGGAAAGAGTTGGTAGTTATAGAAATGATCATTTTTCTATTGAGAATTTAGTATCGGGTACTGGGGAGGAGATGTTTAAAAAGAGACCCCAGAGAAAGGCAAAAGGACACACACACACACACACACAGAGAGAGAGAGAGAGAGAGAGAGAGAGAGAGAGAGAGAGAGAGAGAGAGACAAAGATCGACAGATGCGCACACACAACATCCACACATACGCGCACACACACACACAGAGAGAGAGAGAGAGAGAGAGAGAGAGAGAGAGAGAGAGAGAGAGAGAGAGAGAGAGAGAGAGAGAGAGAGAGAGAGAGAGAGATTGGTCAACTCAACTCCAGTTTAACTGGGTTTGGAATGAAGTCTCACCCGTTGATTCTATAACTGTTCACGTTGGAGAATTAAAATAGTGTGATTCTTAATTCTAACAATAAAAAATTATAGGACCGTGTCCTTGATCCCTGAGGGATGAATCCGGGTGCCTAAACCTTTCATCAGCGGCAGCGGCAGCGTGTTTTCCGGACTCACTCTGCCCGTGCCCCCTAGCCAGGTGTTGTATGTGGAATGTCTGCCCGGAGCACCCCAGGAGAGTGAGCTGCTGGTCCATTCGGGTCGAGATGGCCCTGCCCTCCACTCGTCCACTCGGGCCCAGGTCCTGCCAGGCAATGCCCGGTGGGCTCAGTGTTTGCAGCTTTCAAATGCCCCTGGGACTCCTGGCTTTGTTTTCCTTGGGGACCTCTCCGGGCCTCCAAGCTCTTGCGCACACTTCCCAGCGAAGCCTGGCTTTCCCAAACACTTAGCGGTTGAAGCAACCCGGATGCCCCAGTTCATCCCAACACTGTGTTTCTATATGTACACAGCTATATGTTAGATAGGACAAGGCTGTGCTTGAAAGCGAATGATTTGCATTTTAATTAAAAATAAATGAAAGCTTTTGGCAAATCCGAGGTTGCTCGAAGGGATCACGGGACCGCGTTGAGGAAGACGGCCTGCCTCTGGACTTGGAGTCTGTGGGACGGCAGCGCTCGCTTAGTTGCGGAGATTCCAGTTGCAGCCTGCTCCTGGGATCCGCGGCTTGTAGGATCCACTGGACTCCGCATTCTCCCTTGACCTTTGACGCAGCGCGCCATGTGCTATTGATACTTCTGTTTTAAGAGAAAGGAACCACCCTTAAGTCCAGGAGGACACACGTCAAAGATGCCAATGGCTCTGCCGCGATTACATAAGTGTCAAATGTCTGTCGGGAGGGTGCTGTAGAACGGTTATTGCTACAAAACGGAGAGGAGAAAGGGAAATTACGCGTGTTTCGGTCAAAACAAAAACAAAACAAAACAAACAAAAATCCCACACACCAAACAACAAAAAGCCTCTTGGGAACCTGTTTTGTCGAACCCTCTGGAAGACTTTAACCACTCCACTTCTCCGAGGATTGGGGCCTGTTCGGGTTGAGTAAGAGAAAAATTAGTTTTAGGTCAATGTTAGCAAAACGGGTCCAGCTAGTGGCTACACAGAAATTCAAGGAAGATGACTCAAGAACGACCCGGAGCTGGCCCACTCTGCTCTGGGGAGAAGACAGGGAGGGGGCGGGGACTTCCATGTATGGATCTCTTTGCTAAGTGCTGTCAGGTGGGAACCCGACTTGGAAGTTCTGGCAGAGGAGAGCTAGAGCCGGTCAACCCACGGCGGCTCTAAACTCCGCGCTACCGGTGAGGAAGCATCACCAGATGTACGGTGGGTTCTTCTACCTAAAAACCCAGAATCCCTCTCCAGGACTTGCCTCAGCCTTCCTGGGGGCTGACCTCCCCACAAATCGCAGCCCAGCACCTCTGCAAAACTGTTGCAGCATGCATGCCCGAACCCGCGGAGCCAGAACTGGGGCGCTCCGATGGAGGACTCCGAAAGGCGCCGGAAGACCGGAAAGAGCAAACCCCAAAATATCCAGAAGTATGTGCAAAGTAGGTTTGCGTAAGAATGTAAACATATCGCTTTTCAAATTAAAAAACCCTTCCCCTGACCTATTTGCAACCCTTGGT